ACTTGCAGACTAGGTAGTTTTTAAGGCGCAAACAGTCATTCCACGTTTGCTCACTAGGATCGTTGTGAACGTCCATCTATGGAGGAATCACTCAACTAAACTACGCATTATTGGTTGCATAGTTTTGTGAGGCTGAGTGATCCGGGTCTGTAGTTTTTATCTCTGAGAAGAAAGTTGGTTGAATAGCAAGATCGCATCTGGATGATTATGTGTATTGGTCTGCATGTGTATAAAATCAGTGATATTTGCTGTGCGGGAAAATCATTACTGAATACGCCGAATATGACATCTTGTGCTTTCTGAAGAGAGGTTATATTCAAAGTTATAAATTACGAAAAACTGGGGAGAATTACGGGAAATCATCACCGCGCCCGCGTTGTGTGTAATTACTGTTAGCATGTATGTGGCTTGTAATTCGACAGTGTACAATGAATATAATTATTTCTTATCTCTCTCATTTTTGCAATTCAGCAAATTTGTATATGTAATTTCCAGAATGGATAAGAAAAAGTGAATGCGCAACTAATTTCTAGCTTTGAATTTCAATTAAGTGTATTTCAGACAAGAACTCAATGTAGTTATCATCAAAACATACAAATAACAGCTTAGACCTCCAGTAATGCCATCTCAGAAGCAGATTTTACATCACATCAGGGCCAAACAATTGATAACAAGCCTCATGACGTTTAGACAACACGTACAACTAAGTGCTAAGATAACATCTTATAGAAAAACCTACATAATGTAAAAAAAAAACAGCATAATGTCAAAAAAATCAGCATAATGTCACTTTTCAAGTATACGTGATACCCGTGCCAGTCCTGAATCGGTAAGTTCGAAATAGAAGATAGCAAGATAGGACGATATACGATAGCGAATACGAAACAAATAACTATCTGATAATTTCAATACCTAGCTAGGAATTCTGCTTTTTTTAAATAACTAAGGTTTGGTAATGTCAATGTATTCATCTGTGAAAAAATCCAATATGGCGTTCATAATAGAATATAAAGCTGATGCTGGAGGGCAAGAGACCAAACGACTTATTGAAATTCTTATTATGCCTTCTTCTTCTTCTGCCTACTTTATCAATAGGCTCATGCCTGTTTGACTTCGGTTCTTAGCCTCAATTGATGTTGTCTGACTATTTTTTCCTCGGTCGTCCCATTGATCTTCTTCCATTTGGCGATTTGTCTCTTGCTATTCGTACTGTTCTATTTTCTGACATTCTTTCTATGTGTTGATTTCATTATATTTTTCTTCTTTTGGTCCATAGGTTAATTTCCTCTATACCACATCTCGCCCGAATTTCCTCACTTCTTACTCTGTCTCTTAGAGTTTGGTTTGTTATTTTTCGTAAGACATTTCTGCTGTTTCCAATAATCTTTGTGTATTTGCCATATCTGCTCTTCTCTCCGCTGTGTACGGCATTATCGGTCTTATTGTTGATATATATATATATCTCAGTTCTCATTTCCGTTGTGAGAAATTTGTTTCTCCAGATAGTATTGTTGAGACATCCTGCTGCTCTGTTCGGCATGTTCACTTGTTTTTGTACTTCTTCTTCCACTTTTCCATAGCTTGACAGTTTGATTCCCAAGTATTCCGTTTCCATCACTTGTTCTATTATTTTGTTATTTACGACCAGTTTACATCGTCTCGGTTCACTGATGATATCAGTATTGATTTAGTTTTCTCTGTTGTAATCACCATGATGTATATGAGCGCCGTATCTTCGAATTCTTTAATTAACCTTTGTAGGTCATCTTCATTTTCGGCTATTATTATGGCGTCGTCGGTGTAGCATATTTTCTGCATTTCCTTTTCTCCCATTCTATATCCTCTTCCATTTTTAACTTTCTTAATGATTTCATCCAGATTAAATATTAGTGGGCTCAGCGAATCTCCCTGTCTAATGCCAGTTTCATACTTGATAGGTTGCGAGAGTTTTCCTTTACATCTTACCTTAGCTATGTTATCTTTAATTATTATTATTCTCAATAGTTTTTACTAAATCCATTCTTGTTGTCAATTTGAGTGTTGTATTTAACAGATTTATTGCTCGATAATTATTGGAGTCTTTCTTATCTCCTCCATTCATCTGGTATTCTGTTCGCGGTGATTATTTTTTGTATAAGGAGTTGCAGTTGTTGTACAAGGTAATCACCTCCATATTTGAAGAGGAAAAAAGTGGCAATGTTAATGTGGCAATTTATTTTGAAATTCCACCAGAAATAAAGTGAGGAAAAATTAGAACAATTTTGGGATTATTCTGTTCTTTCCGTCACTCTCCGGAAGTACTTTGAATTTTGTAACTTTCCAAGCAACATGTCGTTAATTATTTACCTGAATATGCAACTTTGCTCCCATTTAAGTGACTTCGTATCTCTTACAGTTTAAGAGACATCAATGGTGAGGGTCGAATTTGGAACATCCGGTATATTGCTGTCTTAGCAAGGCATGGTAAAATAGCCGGAATCGGTTATTGAACTAAATATATAAAGCTGGCAACGGACGGTGAGCGATAATATATAATATACATTATATCCATATTACAGAAATATCGCTCCATGTGTAAACCTATTGAGACGCCACCCACGGACGCTATAAGATATATTTACATCCCAGCGATATATTACGCATCTGTCGGGATATGCTTACCGAGCGATATTCTGCGCTATATCGCGCTATATACGAGGGATGTCTTTTAAGTTTTGCATATGGAAATAAAACAACACGGCAGGTAGTTTTAAATGACTTTATTGTTTTTCGAAGTATTCTCCACGAAGATTAATACACATCTGCATGCGCTCGAACCAATTTTTGAAGCACTTATTCCACTCGTTTGCTGGCAGACCCAAAACGGCATTTTTGAATGCGTCGACTGCTTCTTCTGGTGACTGGAACCTTTGACCACGCAGACTGTTTTTAATTTTCGGGTGAGTAAAGAAATTGTTAGGACTTAGATCGGGACTATATGGAGGATGGTCCAATAATTCCACGTTTTCTTCCGTTAAATACCGCCTTGTTTTTTGGGCTGTGTGCAAGCTTGCATTGTCTTGGTGGAGGATGATTCTTCTTTCGGGGTTGATTTTTCGAAGCTGGGTGATGATGACTTTTGGCAAACAAATGGTGGTATACCAATCTGCAGTAACAGTTCTTTGCTCCTTAAGAAAAATTGTTGCAATATGACCCGCTTTTGACACAAATGTCGCGACCATCTTTTTCGAAACACTTCGAGAACGGATGACTTTTGTTGGCTTTTCTTCACCTTGAAACACCCAAACAGCCGTCTGTCGTTTATTCTCTTGTTCTTAACAGTAAATCCATGATTCACACTAACAATGCTGTACACATTTTTTGAGTTTCCGGAATTGAAACGGTCAAGAGTTTTTTGACACCAATTAACCCTGGCTGCTTTCTGCTTTTCAGTCAACAGGTGGAGTATCCAACGAGAAACTAATTTTCTTACTGCTAATTCTTCATGTAGAATTTTTTGAATTGAGGTGTTTGAGATCTTCAAGGACGCCTCAGTCTCGCGATATGTCACATGTCTGTCTTCAACGATGAGTTTGCCCACAGCATCGACATTGTCCTGGGTGACTGCCGTTTTTGGCGCACCCACCCTGGGATCGTCGCTAAAACTCACTCGTCCACGTTCGAATTCTCTATACCAACGGAAAATTGTCGACTGATGAAGCGCTTCGTTGTCGAAAACAGACCTTCTTGTTGCGATAATTGTCTCTGAAAGTTATACTAAATTATGGCGCGAAAATGTTCTCGGTTGAGTTCCATTTTTCTAATGACTTGGTGACCCTTAAGAATTCACTGTACTATTCACTGCACGCATTGTTGTGAAACTTTGAATTTAAGTTAACTAAAGAGTGAGGTTAAGATTCAGTACTGACGTTCGATCCGCGCGGCCTACTATGTTTCTACATGCAAAACTTAAAAGACATCCCTCGTATATTCCCCTCTTGCGTCTCGTCACCCGAAAATGTCCACGAACCTCTTTTGCTGAGAGCCGGCTTGGCGCGATGTTGCTATTTTATTATTTGCTCTTGCACTTCGGAATTCGCAATGGACAAAATGGAGCATTTTATTGAAAGTGTAAGAAAACATCCATGTTTATCGAAGGTAGACTCGAATGAGTATGAAAATAATGAGGTTAAAGAAGCAGCTTGGAGGAGTATCATCGCTGATTACAACATATCCGACGGTATGAACTTGTAAATATTTATTTTTATATACATAGGTAGTTTGAAACCTAATAGTAGGGAAACCCAAGAGGGGATTTTAGGATTTACTCAAGCGCGGCAGATTAACATATGGGGGTACCTTGTTAATTAAATACACTGTGTACAGCACAGATCAGCAGATCAGCCTACGCACAGCAATGCTGAAAAATCGGTAGGTTCGGCACCACTGCTAGAAAGATATTTTTTTGGCACTATTACATTGCGTCCCATTAGCCAGATCCAATCTTGTATATATATATGTATATCTCTAATTATGGACAAACACACGACGTCACAAACATTCATGGCTCCGAAATGTGATTTCCGAAGGCGAGATTCGAACTCGCGGCCCGGCCGGCCGGCTGATCAGTAGCACGACACTCTGACCCACGCGGCCAACCGAGGTCCCTGCTAGAAAGATATGAAAATATATATTCTGTAGTCAGTTGCAGTCATAATATAATATTATATTATAGCGTATTGTACGACTATAATATATATTATATTATCGCCCACCATCCGATCCCAGCTTAAATGCTGCAGAAACTATGTTTTGCCAACTTTTCGGTGTTCTGGCCACTGTGCGTTTATTTGCTTGTGTCAATTAAGATACGACTCCAATCTACCAAATGGCAGACACATCTGCTAGGTGCATGCTGCACATTTAGGTACTTCTATTCACGCAATACTTCATCAACATGTTGCAGACACACGTTGCGGAGCATATTTGCTATAAAAATTACAGATATTCAGCGTACTTACCTAAAACCATGAGACTCTTGTTGATATTGTTTGCCTCCTCCAAAGTTTTTCCTTCACTTTGTGTCTTCTTCGTCATTTCACTACCAGCAAGATCGACAAAATTTATTTTTCCGAATCGTGAAATGAAGACCCCGTTTTCAGAAGGTTCTTCAGAAGTGATGTGGACACTGAGTATAGTATGACTTCGACTAGAAAATAAGTGGAGTGAAAAAAAAACGGTTCATCACTAACACGTAGACCTTTAACAGTTCACTCACCTTGAATAGTCATTCATGTTATGTCTGCCTACAGATCTATTCCTCATGCCCTCTTCTAAAACAGCCATGAGGTCGTCTAGCTCTTCACAATCTACGGTGAACAAATTCTCTACGAAGAATCCTCTAGCTTTTTTGCTCCATCTAACAGCTAAGGGTTTTCTACAAGTACCGGGGTTCAAAAGATCTATCACCTTAAATAATGAGAAAATGAAATTTACTGTCTAAATTATCGTCCTAATAATTTTACATGATCTTTTGAAGTATAATAATAAGTATATTTTTCTAGTTACGCTTACCCCAAATAATGCTCTAGTTAATCAAGATTCTGAGCCATATATTATCTGAAAAGCTACGGCATGCGTTAATAGCCAACCCAGGACGTCGTTTAGATCAACAGTGCTGTTTGTTTACAAATCGGATTTGGAAAAACGAAAATAATTCACTCGCATAGAAATAACGATTGTCGTTGTTTGTTTTACTTTTTCACTACAAAATTGCCATGCTCTGGCTTTTTTTGTTTCAAGATAAGTGATGCTCCAACTATCAGGACGTCCTGAATTTGAGTGCAGTTTTTTAAGGTCAAAACGAAGAAATAGTTGAAAACCGAAAACTAAACCATGCTCAAGAATCAAGAAGTTGGATAATATAAACATAAAAAAATAAGTACACTAGGTTCCATTTTTGGCTCAATTTGAATTAAATTATAAGCTAGAGTTGTAAGAATTTCTGCATAAATCTGAGGTTATTTGATAGTTGCAATAAAAGTACAAATTCGGAGTTGATTTGTGCAAATAAACGGATGCCTTTATTTACCTTTTCATTGTAAATCTCTAAAAAACTAGCCTTCAGTACAAATGTTCTAGAAGTGTGCTCTTGTAACAGTTGAAATAAATATACAAATGAACGAAACACCAAACCGTGGTTGTCACTATAGGGTACTGCTTTGATGCCAAACTGGAAAAAAAAATGTTATTAATACAAATTTCGGGGTACTACGACCAATACATAATAGAGGAGCTTTTTGTGATGTTTGTCTTTTTTTATCCTCCAACTACCACGAAGACCTAATGCCTAAACACCCATGGGGTACCGTGGGGCTATAGGGGGATACAGGGGAAAGGGGGAACGCCACACGGACTCTGGCGAAGGAACACGTGTGCATTCGACATGCACACATTCTGGTCCCGTCTACGAGATCCGCCGGGTGGTACCTCTACGTTCGACAGTCCGATATCGTCTACCACCTACGGACAATCACAACATCCATAGCCAAGAGAAAAATTTCGAACCCGCACAGCGCACGGCGACTGATCAGGAGACCGGAGAGTCTACTACTGCGGTCACCACTGCTGCCAGTTATGAAACTAACAAAAAGGAGACCCCAACATGGCCAACTTGTAACATCTTATACTTTCAATATTCGTTATGCTACTATTGTCGGTTCGAAACTCGAGGCTTCCGTTTTGTCGTTGTCTCCAAATCCAAGCATGATGCATTGTGTGAAATAACATAAATTTGGCTGGTATTGACCTATTCGTAGTCCATTTTCGCCCAGAAAAAACACAACATGCCCAAAAGCGAGATTGTACAGGTCCGTATTTTCCTCAATGGTGTTGGAATAATCTAACAAAATAAATGATTATTTTTATAGAAAGAAGTGCACATACTTTTCACAATTATTTGTTCACTGGAAGTATTTGAATCATCGTCCGAATGGTTAATATTAATTATTACAGATTCAGTTTTAATATCGATCATATTGTCCAGATCCCAAATCTTTGTTTTGATTGTCTCTTGAACGTGACAGATGCAATGTTTCCAATGGTTTTCCGTCACTGTGTTGACAGCTTCATAAAACAATTTTTTCACGTCAGGAAAAGTAAATAATATACTGAAAAGTCAAGCTCACCTTCCCGATACTCTAAATAGGTCATCGCCATTTATGAGTATTTTAAAATGCAGAATTTGGAGAAAATGTAACACTTGAATCAGATTTTCACATATGACATCCATATTCAAACATTTTTTGCTACTGGACCTACTTCGTGTATATATATTCAATTATTGTCGATTGAATTGAAGCATTCACGTTTAAAATACGAAATCCGGAATCACAATTTACGAATAGCGGTGGAGCTTCAGACCTGATCAAAAGTTGCCGCAGCTAAGATATTTTCGATCACGAAGCATAATAAACTGTGAACAAGGGAATATCTGAATATAATTCGATTTGGCAACATCGTATCCTTCATTTGCTTGGACTGCTCCAAGTTTAAGAGAAATCCCTCGTAGCGTGGATAGGCATGGTGTAAGCCAGAATACAGACCTGTTGAAAATTGAGGTTTTCCCAGGGGAGGGAAATATTCGCATCGACTGAATAACATAAAGCCTACCTTACCCAATGATACGTATGCACATCGCAAAGCCTGACTTCTGACTACTGATCTTGACTACTTCATTGAAATTGAAGATTTTGCTTATATACTCGAAAATTGTTCAACATTTGAATGTTCATGCAAAAATTCAATGTGTATACTTTCAGTGGATTTCTTCGATGAGCGCGTGACAACATCGCTTACTGCCTTCCAATTTGGAACCGAACTATATCAACGAATATTTACTACGACCTGTGACATCAACGTACGTGTGAGTCGCGACCTCACCCACTCAAATATAATACACGGGTCACACGGCTGCGGCAAAGCAGTGGTCGGGATGAAACTTGTTAGAGCTTTGTCAATTTTAATTATATCTAAAAACTTCTTTAAGCTTTATAAAAGATGATTTAGCAGTATGTTCGTCTACAAGAAACTTCGTAATTGCAATGTATGTTGGCTCAGCATAATCACTAGTTACACAAGATACTTGGAAATACTGTAAAAGATGTGAACCGTCACGAAGCCGCAAATGTAGCCAAACATACTCCTGGAAATCTCCAAAAATTATCGCCAGTCGAAAAACCGTCGCCTAATTTGGCAATCTCAATGCCGACTTCTGTATTGATACTCACAAGCCCTGGTGGCCCAGTCAGCGTATGTGTCTTCCCACTTCCCGTTTGTCCATAGCAAAAGCACGTACACCGGAATCCTTCCACGGCCATCTCAATCAGTCGTTTCATTCCGGAGAATTGCAGCACGTCTTCCTGGGTGGCGGCTGGTTCGAATACCACGTTGTATGAAAACAGTCTGGGTTTTTGGCCACCGCCTGGCCCACCTGGGATAGCGTCCACCTAGAAACAGCAACAGTCGAATGGTGAATAGATGCTGTCAAGGGCTAAACAATTGCTTTGCCCAAATCTAGCGTATTTGAGTTATGACTACAAAAATCTATCATCGGTAAGTTGCAAACAGTCCCAGCCTCCTACATCCTACATCATATTTTCTGTCATCAGGCGATTTCAAAACGACGTTTCTGAAATACGCAGAAATTTTATTTTTGCGTTTTTGTAGCTTCAAACATTTTTCAGAAATTGTCAAATCTGGATTCGATGTACTCGTAATACAGGCTGGCGCAGCTTAAACGTTACGGTTCAAATTTTTCATTACATTTTTATTTAATCTATGATTAAAATGGAATTGATTTGAAAATACTAAACATATTAATGGGAAATTAGATCAGAATTGTGTTCTTCCATCACTTTCCATAGACTTCCGCGAGATTTCTTCCAAGCAGGGAATGTTCTAGAAGCGGTTAAATCCGTTAAATGCAGAGGGTTGTTCAAATTGGCTGTCCGCCAAATAATGTGGTACTGAAAAACCTTTTATCACAGACGCTAACTAGTACCTTAAAATGTCTAGTGCTTCATATTTGGAACATGCAGGAATTGTTTGTCATAATTTTCATTATAAAAATGTTACAACAATATCCGAGTTTAAATGCTAGCAATAAAAACTGGATCCTTTTGTACACTCTCACACAAACGTTCGATTGTTCCACCCGTCAGTATTATACATTGTCTTACAGGACTACAAAAGTTAAATAATGTTTAATGCCGAAATTTTGAAATGACATGACTTATTATTGACAATGAGTGTATCCAACCCTTGAAGGAGGCGGAACGGACTAAACATATGGCAGACGGAGTGGAATTCGTTGAATCTGTAGCATATTGTAGATTGCGATGTCCAGATAAAAGCTCTCCATGGGTACAAGGCTTCCTAATGAAAAGTTTTAGAGATATAGAGAACCAAAGCGACATGTAATATTTACCTCACATCCTTCCTTCCAAAACGCCGAGAAAGATTTGCCAAGAGGGACAACTTTTTAACTAAAAACTACTTCACCTCCTTTCACCCTCAGCCTCCCAAGGTCATTCATTTAAAAATTTTGAACGTCAATGGGTATCGAGTAATAGCTTGTTTGGAAGGTGTTTCGAAGTCCTTTATTTTGAAGTATGATTTTTTTAAATCAGTCTTTTAGTTTTCGACAAAATTAGGAAAATCTTTATTTATCTTAATTTGTTCAGATAGAAAACAAAAACACACGAAAACAGCACTTTTCATTTCAATAAGTGTTCAAACAGCATTTCTGAAGATTAGACGTGGCAACAACCAAATATCAACCCGAATTTCTTCCGCATTCTTTTCATCAGAACAGATATCCTGGGCGAACTGATTATATTGTTATACCTGTTTAGTTATTTGTTGCTACGGGAAAGAAATAATATAATTTGCTGTCTGTTACCTTTGTGACAATCTTGGGATAGTGAAAATTGATTTATTAATTCAGAGTTTACTTCCAAAATGATTTACACACAAACTACCGTCACGTTCAACGCCAGACATTCGGGGAAGATAACTTCGCATAGGTATGTTTTGGACCTTGTTAATAAATTCACTCAAACTGGACCTATGGCAAATAAAAAACGTGATCATCAGTGACTTTTGGATGAAGCCGCCCAAGTTGAAGTTTTGGGTCATTTTGGAATAAATCCTAATGCTTCATTATGCAAAATTGTTGCTGCGACTGGTATTTCATTAGGCTCTGTACACAGTTACTAAACTCCATTAATTTAATCCATTCAAAATGAAAATATTGCAATAGTTAAGCGAAGACGATTTCTATAGGCGCGTTGAGCTTTGTGAATAAATGACTGCAGCGATTATACAATTCATGTAAAGAATATCTGCTTCAGTGACGAATGCACATTTCATCTAAATGGATTTGTTAATAAGCATAAATCCAGGTATTGAACCAATGGAAATCCTCATGCTTTCGTAGAAAAAATTACTGTATGGGCGGGCATTTTAGGAAACAAAGTTTATTAATGGAAATTTGAATTTATTTGGATATGTTGGATAATACCATCAATTCGCTTATGACTGAAGCCATTGAAAACCAAATCGAAGAGGCTGGAAACCCTATAGGGAAAGGGGGGACATAATGGTGACGCGGGGCACGACGGGGCCATCAACATATCTATATCTAGATAACTACGCACACGTGTGTTGTCACCGCCAACAGCCGACCATGTTGCATCACTCTTCAGTCTGACAGTATCCGGCGCGCGCTTTTGTTTTATAACCTATAATTGTTTTCGGCGTCATTTCATCTAATTTTAAGTGGTTACAAAAACGCATATCAAAAGGTAAGTGTTCAGAGTAATACCATCGATTTTGGGTTGTGTTTTTAAGAGACATCAATTATTGATATGTTTTGGAAAACATCTCTGTAACTACCAATTTTTGTTTGTTTGTTCGAAATTAAAAAGAATGTTACACACGGGGGCATAACGGGGCCATGGTGATGAGGTACAATGGGGTACCCTATTGTGCCTCGTCACTGTTGTCCCCAGTATGCCCCTGTTATGTAAGCTGTTTGAATAATCTGTTTATTTGTGAATAGGATTCATTTTGTTGCAGATAAAAAATGGTACGTACGTACAAAAAGAAAAGTTCCAGATTCAGTTGGTCTAAAGAAAGCAGGAAACAAGCAATCGATGCAGTTTTGAGCAAGACAATAGGCTACAGAAAAGCATCTCAACTCTACGGTGTTCCACAAACTACATTGGAGCGTTATGTCGTCAAAACACGAAAGGGCGAGGTGTCCCTCAACTCCACTCCAGGTAACTTTAAACCCGTATTTTCCAAAAAAGAAGAAGATGAGCTCGTGAGGTATATTAAAGAAATGGAGAAACGTCTGTTCGGATTAACCACTGTCGTCCTACGAAAGCTGGCTTATCAGTTGGCGGAGAAAAATTCTAAAGCTCATAATTTTAACCATGATGAAATGATGGCTGGCGTAGATTGGTTGAAAGGATTCATGAAACGTCATCCAGATTTATCCATCCGCAAACCAGAAGCCACATCAGCAGCTCGGGCAATGGGGTTCAACAAAGTGGCAGTGGATAAATTATATTCTTTACTCGGGGAAATATATGATAAATATAATCTAAGGCCAGATAGGATATATAATTGCGATGAGACTGGCATATCATGTGTCTCCAAAACAAAGAGCAAAATAATTGCAGAAAAGGGAAGGAAACAGGTAGGCTCGCTTTCTTCAGCAGAACGAGGGCAGAAGGTCACGGTTGAAGTATGTTTTAATGCAGCTGGAACGTACATGCCTCCCATGCTGATATTTCCTCGACAGAGAATGAAGCAGGAGTTATTGGATCACGCTCCTCCAGGAACGACGGCAGAATGCAATGCTCGAGGCTGGATGACTACTGAGACATTTATGACGTGGTTCCAACGGTTCGCCAAGTGTTCTGGTGCGTCAGTAACTAACCCGGTCTTGCTGCTTCTAGATGGTCATGTAACGCACACACAAAACTTAGAGGTTATTGAAAGTGCACGTAAGAATGGAGTTGTAATGCTTTGCTTTCCCCCTCACTGCACCCACAGGCTCCAACCTGTGGATGTTGGCTTTATGAAACCTCTGAGTGTATATTATGACCAAGCTGCAACAATGGCTACAGCGATCAATGCATTCAAAAAATGTGGCATATGGCCATTCAATCAAAGCAACTTCACAGATTCAGATTTTTTAGCTGCATCAACAACAGACGTACCGCTGAGAAATAGCGAGCCTGAGACAGGTGCTTCATCTGCTGAAATCCAGCAATATCCACCGCTTCCCTTAAAGAGCACCCACTTGAACAAGTTTTGCCTCTAGCTACGCCACCACATCAGAAAACTCCTATGCCAAGTCCGCAGCCTGGACCATCTGTACAAAACGAAGACAGTGTGATCCGATCTGCAATTCGAAGAGTATGTCGTGACTTAACAACTTCCCTTGAAAATGCTTCTCCCAAGGACATTCTCGCGATCCCAACAGTCGAACAAAGAAACCAAACGAGGAAAAATTATCGCAGAGGGAAAACTGTTGTTTTCACTTAAGCCCCCTACGAAAATGAGTTGAAAGAACATGAAAATCTTAAACAGACGAAGAAATGTTCAAATCCTAATGATCCCCGTTTAAAGAGAAATGCGAAGAAACAGACGAAGAAGGACGTAGAAAAAGTGGACGAGGATATCTTATGCCTCTATTGCGTTGACGAAAACCATAGCTACTTGAAGTCTGCAGAGAATTGGGTGGCCTGCCAGCTGTGTGAACGTTGGTCTCATACAGCCTGTGCTGGAATTGACGACAAAAATTCGAAAGAAATCCACATCTGCTTATACTGTGAAGCAATATAACTATGTACCCCGTACTGCCCCTACCGTGGGGCACAATGGGGATTTAATAAGGATTTCGTAGAATTAAATTTAAGGATATTATTTGATTAGTTACTTTACGAAAGTATGTTCCAAATGAATCTGTAATATGCAACCAAAGTATCAAGATTAGTTTTGAATGAAAAATATATTTTGTTTATTCTTTTATTCTTTATTTTCCTTAACGTCCCCGTTATGCCCCCCTCTCTCCTACTTGATCAGGCTTAAATATATTTCCAGCAAGACGGCGCTCCTCCTCACTATGTTCCTCCGGTTCGGCAATGGCTAGACGACGAGTTTCCAGATAAATGGATAGGACGAAGAGGGCCTGCAGAATGACCTGCTAGATCTTCTGATTTGACGCCATTATACTTTTTTCTATGGGGTAATTTGAAATCTATTCTGTTTACTCCCTAACCTGAAAGTTTGGATGAACTTCGTCAACGCATCATCGAAAGATGCTATGATATCCCACAACATGCGCATTGAAAATGTCCGTCAGCAATTTGAACATCGCCCATATCATTGTTTGGCCAATAACGAGCAATATTGTGAACACTTATTGAAATAAAAGTTATATTTTCGTGTGTTAGCAAGGGTGCCTTTTAGAGCTCTCGAACCACAAAAGTGGTATGTGGTTCGAGAGGTGCAATTAGGTCGTATTGGTGATTTTTGTCAGAAGACAGTACGCACAGATCTCATAGATAATTAAACGATTATAAATCGCAATTTTTGACTGTACTAGGAAGTAGCGACTGCGTCAGTACACACAAATACTCTCCATATATTGGCATTCGCACTATTTCCTAATACATTCATTAGCACTCAATTATCTACGAGATACCCAAAATTGCGTTTTCTGCTGTCTGATAAAAATTGTGGGCACAAATGTGGCATTGCATGTCAAATATCATTCAAGTGGTTTGACGGATCGAGATAAGTCATCTCTGCTAAAATATAAATCTACAAGATACAGAGGAAAATATATTACTGGGTACTTACACAGGGTGTTTCAGAGGCATGCCAATATTTCTAGGGTAGGAAGGAAATCCAAGAATAACAACAAAAAAAATCCTGTAGTATGTAGTATGGGTCCAAAGATGCTCCCCTACCGAGATACAGAGTGATGAAGTTTTATTTACGAAATTTCAAAAAAATATATGTCTACCTATTAAGCAGACGTTCAATGAGCATATCCTAAGCAATAAACAAACTGAAACAGGGACGTAGAAATTGAGGTACCTGGAACCTAATAGAAAATATGTTCTACACCCACTGGCCTCTTCAGAGAAAAGAAGTGCATTCTATGAGATAGCATTCAATTTTCCAGAAATGTTGTCTCAAAAATCTTTAGTCTCCTCTATTCTAAAAAGACAGTGAAGTTTGAGATTGGAAACTCTATATGGCATGTGAAGAAAGCTATTACACTTCATTACAATGTTAATTGAATGATATGCGTATCTTATCCTTAACCAGTAGCGGAGGAGCCCACCATTCATTAAATTTTGTACATGCACGCCGCTGGTTTTCATGGTATACTTATGATAGATTCTTCTGTTGGTCTAAAATCACAACTAGTAAGTGAAATTTTCCGCCTTTTATATCAAAATTCTTTAGCATTTCGGATTGAGTGACCTCAACAAACATATATATCACAAATCGTTAACAACCTCGGAGTATGTTAACGAAGTATGCAGAAGGCTTTCAAAACTGTTCGTACTATATTTTATAAAGAATCAGAATGTCTTTGTTGCGTAGAACACGGGCTTGTGTTGAATCCAAAGGTGGTCACTTTCAACACCTCCTTTAGGTTGGATTTTATAGCATCTATTCAGCATTACTTTTTGTTACCAATGTTATTCCCTCATAAATTTAGAAATAACCACGTAAGTTGAATCAAATGTAATGTTAATTGTCCTGTTTAATTATCAAAAAGGAATATAGCGACAAAATCAGTCGCGTACATAGGAAAGGTTTAAAGTATGGTAAGCTTTTATGCTGCTGATTGAGTGTAAGACACGCATATCATTCAATTAATGTTGTAATGAAGTATCATAGCTTTCTTTACATGCCTTATCGTGTTTCCAATATCAAGCTTCACGGTGTTTTCAGTATAGGGGAGGCTAAACCTTTTCATAAGAATATTTTAGGATTTTACCAAAAATTCCTCAACAGAGAAACTTTATGGAAAACTGAATTGTATTATATAAAATTCTCTTTTTTTCTAGAAAAGTAGAAAATATTTCCTACTAGGTGTCCAGGTACCCCAGATTCTACGTCTCTGGTTGAGTTTGGTCCGGGAAACTCTGTTTGCTTATTGCTTACGATGTGCCAAACATCTAAGTAAATTTCAACTCAGTATCTTCAACCGCTCACATCACTTGCTTTCATTGCAAAAATTATCCTTATTATTAAAAGATCGAGTGCTAGATAACCCACTTTATGCGAAATAGTGAAGAAGTTCAAGGTGGCTCATACGACGTCAAATCTGACAAATACTTGAATACCGTGAAACTCGGTCTTAAAAACATCGACTTACCAATACCTGCCCATTTCCAGGAAACTGCACCACCATGTCATCTCCGGCCTTGATTTCTTTCTCACTCAACGGTCGGACTCTATGCATGCAAGGTCAAACACATTAGGCAAGTATCGACTACTTTCACATCATAAAAAATTAATCAAACTCATATCAATATATAGTACATTTACATCCGACTTTATATAGAACTTTGAATACGGTTTGAATGTCAAACACTACACTTCTAACCTATCAGATGCACGCAAATCATATAAGAGGCTGTGAAACCAACATCTTTCCGGCACACACCGAGAAAAGTTTAGCCAGATTGGATGCCAAGTACCTAAAGAACTTTGTTTCCTAAAATAAGAACGGAGCTTAAAGATGTTCAAGAAGAAAAATATACTCTACACCTATAAAATGTAAATAGTTTTATATATTATAATCGCATGTATTACGTATCCATCGAAGAAAGAGACCAAACCTAAACATATTCAAGTATACTCCACAATGATTTGTGGTTCCACGACACGATCAAAAAGTATGCAAATTTTTTTTAATTTAACTGGCATGACCAAAAAGAAAACAACTGTCTATTGTTGTTTTTAGTAGAGGTGTTTTATCAAGAAAGTATACTAGAAATGTGTCGTAAGGCTTTTACAAAATGTCTTGACACATTAAAACGATAATTGCATATGCATACGATTATACCTAACCACCGCTTGAACAGGGACGTCAGTGTGCAAACAATTAATTTAAATATTAGAATAAAAATGAATAGATAGGTGGAGTTGAAAGAAAAAGGATTTGGATACATAATAATATATACTAAATATTATACAAAAATTTATTGCGCAGACATTTTACCTCTGAAACCGGAAATACATATATTTGAAAATGAAAATCATTCAAGATCTGAGGCCGTGGAGCTCCCACTGTCATCAAGATTTATCATAAGGGGCAACGTGAGTATCAATGATACCGTCTAATCCCCACATTTTAGGTTCGACCTTATCTTTTACATGCTGATACATTTTCCCACTCATTCGGTGTTATTCTTTGTAAAGCACCATGAAAAATATTTTTAAGGTCAGAAAATTTTAAACATTTATTTTCTGCCGCAACATATTTCTTTATGTCTGTCCAAATGAGCTCAATTATGTTCCGGTTATATTTATTTTTATGCGTCTTGACAATTTGTAACAATTCTGCCTTAACCGTTGTATCCTCGTAATCAATCTTTTTATTTTTAAGCCATCCTTGAATTTCTGATTTTTTTGTTGGCGTTGTTGAAATTTGCTCTAATTTTCTCGTGTGGAATAAAACATTATCTAATGCTATAACCGAATTATCTTTAAGCTTCGGTAGAGAAAAATAATTCATTTTGGGCACTTTAAAACCGCTCCTATTGAAAGCATTAAAAACCGAACAAAATGATTGCTTGATTTCTTATCTCGATATAGTTTAAGCATGTACAAAAACAAAAATAAAATATAATTTTAGTTGAAATTCTATGTCTTACAAGTATTGAAAAATATGTAGGTGCCAGCTTTGCAAACAATGTCCTGCACACTTGAGTCACTCCTTCCTTGCATTTCGTTTTTAGAAAAAATGTTGATAATTATTTGTTTTTCGCTAACGCTAAAATGAAGCCTTTTAGCTCTTTTTTTATTCGGTGTGCAGCTTACATCAACAAATTCATCAGCTGTATCCGTATCAGACATTTTGAGTTCTACGAAATTAAACTAACAAATCTAATGAGCACACACTAATAGAGGAAGTGGTCCGAATATGAGCCCCCCATTTGTTTTTTTTTTATAAATTTTGGAAACTTACGAATAAATATCCAGTAAATTACACACTGCACGCTCAAAGGTTTACCTTATGGTATATTAAAAAGGCATTATCAAAAAAATTAAATTTAGGTCGAATTTGTGTCAACACTTAAATTATGTACAGATCTACTTTTGGATTAGACTGCGTGGAATATGGGCCCCCTAGTAAAATAATTGACAGGTATCTAACAATTTGAAAAAACATATATTTTTCAAATAAAAAAAACTGAAAATGAAAATGAAAATACATTTCAACTTAAAAACTAAATATTACACGCAAAAGTCACAAATATATGCATCTTTTTCGGCACCTGAACATTGTTCGTGAGCCCATTGATTGCACATGAAGCATTGAATCCATAGCTCTCCTCTCTGGTCATCGGAAAAGCAACCATCACAAAATAGGCATGCTGTATCACAGTCATCAGGAACAGATTTGCCAATTTCGTCGATATCCATATCTTCATCGTCTGGGACAAACTCGTGACTTTCATCCTCAGAGTCGTTGACTTTATTGTCTTTTGCTTGCTGTCTTTTTTTGTTAGTTGTCTTCTTTGCTTTTGATTTTAAAAAGACTTGTCGTTTGGTGCTTGCTTTCTTAGGCGTGTTGGTGCAGGATTTCTCTAACTCATCCTTGTAGGGGGAAGAGGTGATCACTTGCGATTTAGTTGATTTTCTTCCCCGAGTGGTATTTTTCTTTGTGACAGAAGGTACAGGTGAAATGTCAAATGGTGAGACCAATTTAACGGAATTTTCCTTTCCTGGAACAGATGGTCTAGAGAAATTGGAATTTGACGGCGACGATGTTGCCTGGGATTGTAATTTAGCTGTATCGTCCCAAAGAGAACATCCTGGCTGAGGTTCTGGGGTACCATGCTGGGGTTCTGTTGTGACAGGCTGCGCTTGAGGAAAAATGTTGCAGTTTTTCTCAGCCTGAATTCGTTCAGATATAAAATCTGCTTCAGAAAAAATGTGACGGTTGAACGGATATATTCCCGTCGCCCTAAAACCACTAGCAGCTATTTCGGCACACTGTGATTTTAAAAAGGCTTTACCTAAAAGTTCTGCCAAGTCAAACTGTGTGAGGGCTCGTTGGTTAACACGAAGCCAATTTCTAATTTCCTCACTGTAATAAGCCTTGAAACTTCCCATGAATGTTTTATCAAGGGGTTGTAATTTATGAGTTGAGTGAGGCGGCAAAGAGATAATGGAAATATGATTTTCACGAGCTAGTCGAATTACTTCTAAGTTTCGTGTGTGGCTATAATGGCCATCTAACACTAGCAGAACTGGACATTCTTTTGTTGGTTTAACAAATTTTATGAAATGCCTCATCCAATCGGAAAACAAATTCTGTTGCACCCACCCACTTGGATGTACTGCATAGATTGAACCTGGAGGAGCCCCTCGCATCAGCTGTTCGTTGCGATTTTTTCTCGGGAAAATTAACATGGGCGGTACAAATTGACCTCCAGCGCTCATTGCAGCTATAAACGTAACTAGTGAACCCCGTTCGGCTGAGGTAATTGAAGCAATTTGCCGTTTTCCTTTTCTTCCCACCACTGATGCCACCTTACTTTGAACAACTGAAAGCCCAGTCTCATCTACATTGTAAATTTGGTGAGGCGAAAAGTTATTTTTTGAGTATTCACTCTGCAAATTGTCAAAAAATTGCTCCACATTTTCCTTATTGAAGCCTAATGCTCTAGCGAAGGAAGTTCCTGTTGGTCTTCGAATAGAAAGTACACTTTTGTGACGTAGTAAAAATGCATCCAACCAGCTTCTCCCCGCCACACCATTTTTAAATGGATGAGCTATTCCATTACAAACAGCTAAGACATATGCCATTTTTCTAATGTCCTTTCTTGTGAGACCATAGTAAGTAGCTTCCATGGACAAAACATATTGAACAAGTTCTTCCTCCAGTTCTTTTCCTAATGTTGTCTTTCTTCCTAGTTGAGTTTTAACTACGTCACTAATATTTAAGTTACCTTCCTTTTGTTTTTTTAACAGTCTTTGAAGTGTAGATCGTGGCACGCTGAACTGTTTGCTTGCAGTTTTAAGACCCATTATTTTGTTATTAACACCGTCCATAGCCTTAACCATATCTTCACGTCTCCATGTTTGTCTTAAGTTCTTTGAAATAAACTTCGCCTTGCTTCGTGGCATAATGAACTGCAAAAACAACTTTATTAAGACTTGGTCCGAATATGAGCCCTGTCCCATAATAGGACCACGGTAGGGGCCCATATTAGCAACATTCCATCTGAATATTTAAAAGCATTCAATTTCTTCTCAATCCATTATTAGGTTAGTTTTTATGTTGGGATATCAAATACTGATCACTATTCTAACATACTAACACATCAACTCACCAGTTTTAAACATAAACATTAATAATAAGCACAAAAACACTTACCGTAAAATATTTGTTGAACTACACAAATAAACTTATGTCACCTGATACTATAGAGATACACACGAGACTGCGTGCATAAACAGAAAAATGTTTGGGGGTCTAGTAGAAGTATTTTAGTACGAAATTCATAGATGTCGCGACGTGCTCTAGTTGAAATATATTGGGGGCCCATAATAAGTGCAGGGCTCATATTCGGACCACTTCCTCTACCATTCCATCTGATGCCAGCTCAGTACTGTACGGCCAGCCTAGGGATGCGCATCGAACATCGATGTTTACAAAACATCGATTTTAAGTGAAAAAACATCGATGTTTTTATATCGATATTACTTTTGCGATGTTTTTTTCAAATCGATATTTCCAATTCGATGTTTAGGACTATTTATATTGGTATATTTCCTCAACAAGCTGAAAATAATGAATAAAATATCTATTTTTCCTAAATATTAGCCTATTTGCTTTGTTACATTTTTCAATTTAAACTCGACTCGTGATTCTACATTACTATATTAAACTATCACTATCGCCAACTATTAGTAGGTAAAATAGTTGTCGCTTGCCGGCTCCAGCTAGGTTCAGTTCGGAGAAGAAAACTTTACTTTTACTTTTACTTTTTTATCTGACAGCAGTGCAAAAAAATGTATTTTAGGGTAATGGGATTTCCCCGAATATTACAAGATGGGTGGTTAGGTTATGTTGTTGTTACTTGTTTGTTGTTTGGTAATTGTAAATAAGTAAATGTCGGCGAATTAATTGAGTTCATTGAAATTTATATTATATTAATGTGTGACGTCTCAGTATTATAATTAAGTTGGATTCGGAAACCATTTAAATCATACATTTTTACGTAATATACATATTAAATATGAGACTTTTTAATATTTCGTAAGT